TGCAGAACGCGATTTTAAAGAGTTACTTAAGCTTGTAGAAGCTCTGCTTGTAGTCTAAATATCAAAGAATCTAACGACTTTAGACATTATTTGACATCCATTGATGATTTTTGATATTAATGTTTGATATTTAATTGTTCTTTGATTTGGAAAGAAGTCCAAATTCGACACAAGACAATTTTCCGATTTCGAGACAAGAAAGATGAAACCGCACAGTTCACAACTAAATGACACTACGACTAGCTGAACGTACGATTACAGTTTCTACAATAATCCTCACCGTGAGTTTACGAATTTTCTGTTGGGTGGTGAGCGAATCGCGCTAAAGAAAATCGTTTTCGATCGAGTTACAGCATAAGGGAACCTTTTAAAAGAATCCACGAGAAGCGTACCGTCCTTGAATGGATGAGGTGGCGCGCGAGCTGATAGATTTTAAATGTCGGCTTCGCAAATCCTCCGCGTATCGATGGGTCCTTGCAAATCCCCCAACGATCCTCGGGATGAATTTTGTTCGTGCTGGGCGGGATCGATCGCAACCCACCCGCAAAGTCCGTTTTCACTTTGTCGCTAAATTACAAGCTGCTTCCTCAAACCGGGTCTCTTAGGAATCTGAGAAAAACTAGTTCCTCTTCTTTATTGTCTTGTTTGCTTTTCGTCCTTAAGCAAGAGAGGGAAGTTTCTGGTCGTGCAAAACATGACATCGTCATGCGCCATATTGTTTTTAGAAATTTTCTAGCAAATTTGTTGCGTTAAAAATCAGGCGTTATTTAAGTTCGTCGCATTTTGATGCTTTTGCCATTATGACCTATTCGGGAAAACTTCTCCACGAACCATTTTATTTTTTAACGCAATTACAAAGATTTGGTTTATTTATGTGGGAAGAAAGATTGTCACTACGTGATGCTGCTAGCGAAGGTTTTCAAGAATTATATAGGGAAGATCGGTCTCAATCAGAAATGTCCGTGGGACGCAGTGCTTTGGATTCGCGAATTTTTGCGTGGGCAGATTCACACTGTGTTCAGACAGCACGTCCATAGTCATTGTCGGGATTTTTCGCCGAAAGAATGACGTTATCGGGAAATCCGTTTGCCGGCCAACAGGACAACGCAGTTTCTCGCGATTACGTGTGTGTAAACCGAGTTATGGAAAGACGCCGCGTCGGTTGTCTGCCTGCAGGGCGAGGAATTGCTGGCAAACGCGAAAAAGTAGGAAAACTGCATTGTGGGCAAACGCGGTGTGTTGCGCATATGGCGCGCGTGACGTGACTAGGATATTCTCGCGGCGCTTTCTCACATCGACAGGACCTCTCCTCCCGTCCTTTGGCCTACGTACGCGTCCTCCATACCGTTATGAACAGACTAGCAAATGTGATCGAGTTTTCAGAACGTAGCACGATCGTTCGACGATCGGCTGGAGATATCTTTCTCTCTCTTTCATCCCTCTCTCTTCTCTCTCTCTCTCTCTCTCTCTCTCTCTCTCATTCCACATCTTTCCCTTCTTTTTTTTATTTGTGCTGTCAAGAAGTCTGATTAGTTTTCAACGCGTAATAAGATGGAAATCGAGGAAGCGGGCGGATAAGCCGACCGATTTGCTCTCCGCAAAATAATTTTAGCGAAAATTGAAGTCGTAATGACGGTCGAGGGGTGGCGGCGACTGCAAACGACGCGATGCCGGCCCGACGTCTTTATTATATTCGATATACGTGCGTCGGCTCCATCGTAAATCGAATCTCCGTATTATCTTCTGTGACGGCGTTGTGGTGTGTCCCGTCTTAGAAGAGGATTTTCCTCGTAGCTGAGGGAAATGAGTGTCGCAGGATGCGCGAGTTGCCCCCTAGCCCATCTTATCCTCACTACCTTGCCGTCCTTACTATTCCATTTTAATCTTAAATAACGCAAGCAACGACACAGTTCCGTGGCACGCGTTTTTAATTCTAAAACGTTGAACAAGTTAATAAAGAATAAAGCGCCGTCGCAACGGTAGCTATTTTCGTGAGAATAGCCGCGTCCTGCGGCCGCCATGTCGAGACTGTGAGGACAAATTTATTTAGATATAAAGTACTCAGCTAGCGAAATTCGCATTTTCAGCTCGCTGAAAAGATTTTACTTTAGATTTTATCTATTATGTCGGCTTTCTTCGAGCAGTTTGAGAGAAAATATTTATTTCAACATAAAAGAAAGATGGAGAGGGCGGTAGAAAAAGGGACGTTGCACGGACATTATAACAACTATACAAACACAAGATCATATCCTTGCCGGAAATTCTTGATGGAATACGATGGATACGTTGTATGCTTTTTTTGCGGACCTTTTTCTCATCTGTAGCGGGACATCTTATCTATGAGGTAAATGAATTGCTGCATTAGTGATACACATGAATTTCTCATGATGTATCATGGCGGCACACATTCCACGTAGTAGAGGGATACCCGATTCAATTCATAGGTGATGCACGACTAGCGTGGTCGCGATTGTGGTGGTTGAAATATTGCCAAGCCGCGACTATTTATTCGGAGTAATTATGGATGCAACTGGGGGATGGAGGGTGGGTTCTATTCGTTTTACGAGAGTAAACAACGGAGGAGACGCGTCCCGTGAGATAAAGGCAGGATGTTAGACGCCCCCGGCTCAGGACAGCATCACAAACAGCGGAAGCAGCACGCGCGCGACAGTCTCGCGATTCGACTGATTATTCTACCGACGCGATCTCCGTACATATTTACTCGGAGTTTCCCTAGAAACGGGCAATTCAAACATCAGCCATCCAGCCGCTAATCGACCGCCCGTTGATCGATCATCGATCTAACCTAACGATGCTCTCTCGCGACGAATTTGTCCGGAAGTGGGGCCGAGATTTATTGCGCGAGTATAACGTTTCTTTCGCCGACCGACCGTAATCATCCCTCTGTAAATCATCGCGCGTGATACAATGAAGACAAGGAAACAGAGAGAAAGTTTGATAAATAGCTACTCGCGTAAATTCGCGAGTATAATCGATTTTATCGGGCAAAATTGCGCGCGACGAAATATATATCGGGGAGTAAATATATTATGAGCGTTAAATGAGGTTCTCTCGAGAAGCTCCAGATGTAGGAAGAAATAAGCCTTACTGCGTTACTTAGCGTGTAATTATTGTATATTACAATAAACATTTAATTATTATCAGATATTTCTTCTGATTATTATATTATTAGGTTTGTTTTGATAAGAATAACATTGTGCTAAGATCAAAAGTACAGTATTAATTTTTATCAGTTCTGACTCCTTGATTATTCGTTATGAAAACTTAATTATTTACTACAGTATATTATACATGGAGAAAAAAGTTTGGTTGTGTCAACAGGAAACTTGGTTGTAATAAACGAACCAACACGATTTTTGATCGAAGAAAACAAAATTTCTGGTCTTTAGAACTAAATTTAGGTCATAAGAACGTAGAAATTCTGTGTTCTTCAAGCAAAACGGTTCATTCATTAAAATCAAACTTTATGTTAATATAACCAAATTTTCTTCTGGTGCAGTTACACATTGATAATTGCGATAAGACTCTTACTCTTTTACATCTAAAATATTATATCGTTCAATTTTGAGACCAAGACAAGAATTGATTTAACGTCTTTTTGGTTTCTTCGTCCTCCTCGCATTGCTGGCAAACTTCATTTCTCGACAATGTAGTAATCAGACAGCTGATTAAATTTCTGGTCGCGTTAATAAGCAAATTCAATAAAATCCGTTTTCCGGAAGAATCACAAAATTCATGAGACGTTCCTTGAACTATAGAGGAATTAATCCGACATACGTGCATGCCTGGCTTCTGACCGAGAGCCCTGCGTTCGTGCTGATAATGGACGCCGTCGCGGTGTATCGTGGTCGAGAACAATAATGTGACATCGCGCACGTTATAACGTAATCTGTGCATAATTGAACGTAAACACGCCAATAATTTGAGCAGGCGTGCGAACGTAGATGCAGAGACAGAAGGAAAACAGTCGTCAGGCATTTAAATGAGAATATATCGCGCCACCCACGGGCGAATAATTGCCTTTGCTGTAACTTGCGTCCTGATGGGGCCATCACTGATGAAGTCGAGCACCCACGGGTGCGACAAGCTTCGCTATTTTGATAGCGGCTGGTGGGACACGATTGAAGAATCCACCGCGAGAGCAATGGAGCGAGTAATTGGACGCTGTTACACGAACATTACTCAATTTATCAAGTAGTTGTCCGAAGTAACCTAAGAGTTCATGCGAAATCCCACGACCTAGTGACCCAGTTACGCGTATTACATAACTTATTTGATAATATTCTGTCCCTTCGTGTCGTATTTTTTGCATTAGCTGGAGACAAGCTGAAGGCAGATCGATATGTTCTTTAAACTTCGAATGAAAGTCTTCCTCAAAACGAGTAAGGAAATTTACTCGAAATGAGAATGAAGGCAACGCTATCCGGAATCAAGAATGAATATTTAATCCCAACTTAGAATGGATTTTTAATCCATATAAGTGAATGTTTCAATCGATTAGATTGGCTTTATTGACTTTCTATTGGCTCTGCAACTAATTTTTCAGACATAACATTGCACTTCATATTTTTTAAATTCCTTAGAATAGAATCTCACTCAAAATGATTGAATACATTTACTAGAAGTAATAATGAAAATAATAATTTAAAAATATCACACGAGTCAATATATATTCAAACTTCGAATAGATCTTTAGTCCGCATAAATGAATGTTTCAATCGATTAGCGTGAATCTGTTTTGTAATGACGATGGAATTCATCAAATTCATTCTTCAGTTTCGGATGAAGATGTTCACCGCACGATTTAGAGTGAAAGAATTCGCTCTAAGCAAAGTCATTCGATTTCGGGTGAGTCAACTTTCACTTTATTTTTCCAATGGAATTTCACTCGAAGAAATTTAGAGAATATAGATTTGTCCTTTCTTTTTTCGATTAGTCAGGATCAGTTACTCTTACGATTTGTATTTTATTTCGCTTACCTGAGGGTAATCTCCGTCCTTCATCTGATAATCGAACACGTAGAAGTAAGTTTTTGGCATAGGCTCTTTCTCGCTGTCAGGGACCGGTGCGATATGGGGATTGTTCGGCTTTTTGGTGTGCCTCAGGGTGAAGAGATCTCCGGTTTGTACCAACGGCGCTACAAATTGCGCGTCGCTCAGCGCCTGTACGCACGCCTCTTTTGTGTTGACGGGATGTTGTACCGTTCGTTCCCAATCGGTGTACTCGTTCACCACCTACAGAAAGAAAAACAGGTTCCGAATCTATCAGCCGCGCTGTCATAGAAATGTCAAGAGTGACGGATTTGAATTCTGGTCGGGATTCCTTTTGATTAAAATTGCATCCTCGGGAAGGGACATTTTCCTGAACGATTTGGCTTTTAACCATTAGCTAAAAGCAGAATCTGAAACGCACAGAGAGAAGAAAACGTTCCAATCAGAGTTAAGTTGTTCCTCCGAAGAGTCCTAATTAGCAAAGTCCGATGGGAAAATCTCGCGAGTTTTGCGAACAGTGTCGGTCTTGTTTCCCCTTATGACATAGAATAATAAGCAGCCAGTTTAACCGCGCAATGGCTCCCCTATTGCGTTCGTAAAAACGCATTGCCACGACTGTAATCGTTTAATTGGCTATAATCATTAAGTAATGCCTGGCGTGCGTCGCTTCTGGCGCGGACCGATAACGTGCCGGCCAAATGGAATTGCGTCGTCGCGTATTTCGACAAAACGCAACGTTCGCGATTCAATCGTTGTGTGGAACGTAACAATTATGTCCCGTGATAAATTCCGCGCGTATGCAACGATACACGCGAGGCGCAAATATGCACGGCATGTTGCGTATCGTCAGCGATAAATGTAATTCATTTTTGTTATGGAGATCATCGAATTTTTTCATCCTTTATGAAACATCTCCGTGAAAATTTAATCTTCAAACTTTCGCGACCAAGAAATACATCAAATGCCTCGATTGAGTATCTATTTAATATAAAAATTTTTAAATAGTCGCGGTGGCCAACGAAATTAGAGCAATTTAAGGAGTTACGACTCACCGTATAAAAGATTTCTGTGAGATGATAGACGTAGGCGTTTCTGACGTATGTGCGGATGATCCTATCTCTCCTTTCCCCCTCGAATCCTTGCAAGACATCCTTCTCCGCGAACTTCCACAGAGCTTCGCTCGTTGTCACCCCAAACAGCAAGTCGTACTTGTTGTTGCTCGTGATAGGTGCGCCGTGCTCAGCTTTCTTCGGAAGGGGACTGAAATCAAACGGAAATGTCACGCAACAATTGTCAGTCCCGCAATTAGCTCTTCCTAACGCTTGTACCCGAAAACATCTAATAACTAGGATAGTCCGAAGTAACTAGGATAGCCGGAAATCACTAGTGAGCGTTAAAATCGAGAATGTCGACGAGGAAGTCGTCGGAAAATGCAACTTGCTCGGAAATAAAGACGATAACGCGACCTCGTCCTACGGTTTCCGGTATGAGCGTGGCGCGATCTTCGATTGTAAGTATGCTAATGACGCTGTAGGGTCGGGACGGGTCGTTTACAATCGCGTTAATGAACCACGTTAATGTTCGCGGTGGAACTGGCTCGTTTAGCTCCCACTTTCCATTTAACGAGAAAACTCCGGGATCCGTCAGACGGAAGACGGAAGGCGGAATTATTGTGGGAGCCGACGTTAAGTACGAGATCCCCCTCTGAGCAAGAAAGCAAAGCCAAGTCCGGAAGTGCACACATCAAAATAACTTTTCCGTCGCTTCACGGATTTCCTTTGCGGCCACGAAAGAAAATGTAGAAATATACGCCGCATTACCATAAAACTCTATTAAGCCAGCTCTACCGGAATCCGAGGATTTTCTCCTCTTTCCCTCACTGTCTTCAGGTTTCACCCTTTTTCCCATTTAGACTGTGACCATATCCAAAATGGCGCCAAGAATCCGCAAGGTCAAGCGTATTCTCGATCTTTTTCTTTATCTCGAATTGACGAATTAATTCAGAAGTGATCTTATACAGAGAACTCAAAAAAAGCGCAATTTCGTTATCCAATAAACGTGTTCCTATAAAGAGTCGCATCGTGAGACTTAGGCAGTTTGAAAAATCACATAAAGTAAAAGTTCTAATATCAATGGATTGGAGCATTTCGAACTTAAGCAATACTCACCCGAATCCTTGAAATTCAGGACCCAGATAGGATAGTAGGTCCTTTTGGAAATCTGGCTTGATAACTACACCATCGACACTTGGGCCGAACGCACTAAGAAACGTCGGCGGTTGAATGTCGACCTGCATCAGCTCTTCTAGGCTGCTCTTTCTCAGACAATCGACTATCAGCTCATTGTCTTTGAGGAGGTCATCGGGAATAGAGCAGTTGACAGCTTTGGCCAGTTTCAGAGCGTAGGACACTGGATCTTCCACTACTGCCCAAGATGAAAGGGCGCTTCCCGATAGTAGTATAGCTCGCTTGAATAGTCCTGTAGAAAGGAACAGATACTTAAAGAGGTCGTACATTTTCAAAATTTATATTGATCACAAAATTAATTATACAGTTATGATGCAGTTAGTTATCATGTAGAAATTAAAGAATTTTGAGAAACAAACTGAAAATTTTGAGAAAAAAACCAAAATCTACCCTTTAAGAAGATAGTCTTTTTTTTAAAAATCTTAACTTTTGCTCTGTTATTTTGAAAAATTAAATAAGTGCTTTTCATTTTTTAAATGGGGTTAGAGGGAGAAAAGAGTTGCAACACGTTTGATTATTTGGGAAAATTATTTTTCTATAATATAGCGTATAAAAAAGATAATATCCTATCATAAGAGACCCGCTGTATGTAAGGAGGAAGGGAAGATCCTATACCAGGAAATGCGGGTATTTCTATTCTCGAAAATGATAGAAGAAGGACAATAACAGGTTATTCATCGATACAAGAATTACTTTCTCGAGTAAATGTACTCGATGGACCGGAAGATTCATTCTTATTTCTTAAAATGACGTACGGGAGTGAGATATTTCGCGATAAAGAGGTTATTCTCACAAACGGATTCCGCACGCTCTGTTGGAGAATCGATGGGTAATCTGATTTTTATGTACTTAGCCCTAAAGGGACGAAGTAGGTTGAAAATGGATATCGATTTGTATGGCAGACTCTGAGACGAGTTTATGCCTTTAAGAAAGTAGAAGTAGACTCGAATGTATGAAGTCACCGTGACCAGCGAAGCAAGAACTTGAAGGGGAGTATGCCGATGAAAGAATTCAAAGCCGCAAATCTTTTAAATTTACGTCTGGAATCCTTTGTGGATGCCGTGACTTTCAGATGTCATTCGATACAATGAGAAGCAGATAAAATTGTGTCTTTGAAAAAAAACGAGACTGTGGTTTGCTCTTTTTCTTGGAAATTCGAGGTGTCTCGACTTTCGATTTTTTTATATTTAATTCTCTCTAACATTTTTAATTCTCAGTTGACGATAAGTTTCTTTTATGTTTGACCACCAAATTTATAAAATGCGATGTTGAGTTGTGTGTAATTCTGGGAGAGAGAGCAACGATTATGACGCCATTATACGAACAGATTGTTTGAACAGGAAATTACGCCAACTAAAATGGCATCTCGGATGGATGGAAACGGTCTCATCGTTATTCCCAGTAAGAAAAGAAAGACAAACCAAAGTCATTCTCGAACCCGAAGAAAGATAGCCACTAGATCATAATTATCCGAAAGAAAAATCTTCGTACGAAATCGCATAGATATTATTTGAGATGAAAAAACGAAATACTCGTTTTTGCGCCTCGACACAGTGATTTGCGATCTCTCTTTGAACGCCATTAAGGGGATGCCGGACATGAAAACTTTACTGACATTGGCTTTTTTTTACAAAGTTTACGTCTTATTGCTTGCACAGAATTACAAACGCTTTTACACAACAAAAGTACATGCAAATATAAATTGTAGCATATGACAAAAACGAAAAAAATATGTTTCAATTATATTTATATTTAAATATATTTAAATATGTTTAAATTTTTTGAGCTGTTAGTGCAATATTTGTTTAATACAAACATTCTGCAGGTTGTATATATTGAAACTGTGGATGCTCTAATCAGGAAAATTTCAAAGATCGCTACACTTTTAGAATTTAGTTCCGATGCTGAAAAAAATACGAAAAGTTTGCAGAAAAGTTTATGATTATATGCAGTTAGGTTTTCCGACTACTATGATAAAATAGAGCGAAAAATTAATTCATGGATATTTTTCGAGATGGCACCTATTTTTATCATACTTTTCATAACGTCCGAATATTCCAGAGTGTATATATATATATATATATATATATATATATATATATGTATATATATATATGTATATATATATATATGTATATATATATATATATTTATTTATTTATTTATTTATATTTATATATACACAGTGGATAATAAAGAAATAATGATGATAGAATAATCGGTAATAATAATACCTGGACAACAGCTCTAACAAAAACTCTAGGCTCCACAAAGGCTAGGTAAACGGATCGTCGTAACGGCTCACTCGTGCCGCTGATTGAGTAGCGCTTGGGAGATGCGCGACCGGGTCATATAAACACGCGTGCGCGAGCACGTGCTCGAACGTCACACCATAACACTCTCAACCGTCGAGACGAGCACATCGGGAGCTGCCGCGTTATTTTCTAGATTATTCCGTGTCGATTTTTAATATCGCGTTTCGATTTTGCGACAGTTGACGCAATAATTAAGACAAATTACAACCAACCACGAGTTCGGTCTTCGATTCGCGTCGCGTGTTCCCTTCGCTCGCGGATTTCGTTTTCTTCGTACACGATTGGTATTGTGCGTGTATCAAAGCGATACACTACAATACAACTCAATCGGGCCGTTGCTGAATTCTCCGTTGCATATACTCGTCGTTTATTCGAAAGGCTGACATTTCCTCGAAGACGCAGTTCGCGATATTTCATACGCAATTCGCAACTCGGAGTGTATCCCCTAAGAGAGACGGGATTTTTCGTGAAACCTCCGTTAGATTACCGTGGTCGGGAGTGAATTACAGGCGACGTGGGACGCGAGGACCATTGCAGTGTCAGATGCAGCGACAAGATGGCTAGTGGACCCTGGACACCGTGGGACAACGCGCAATGGTGAGCGCTCAATTTAGACACTCATATAGTAGACACAAAGCGTCATTTTACGTAGATTGCATGCACGTAGACTTAAATCGCATTCGACTTAAATCGTCCGACGAGAATTAAAATAAGAATTGGAATTTGCAATTCGCCAGAGTTACGTAAGAATGATCCAACCAAAGAATTTAGCTCTGAGATTTTCGCAATAGTTGAACGAGTCAAGCATTTCTTTAAGAACTGACTAGCTTAATCCTTAGAAAAATGTGCAAAAAGACGTGACTGATAAAAAATAAAAAATTATTTCTTAATTTATTTCAAGCATCTATAAAGCTTAAATTTTTTTGTCTGGATTAAAAAGATGTGAATGGAGTATCTACTGATAAAAGCTTATAATTTTTTGAATTGGATTATTCTTGCATAACAATGGCCAATTAAAATTTCGACTCGGTAGGCTTCCTTCTCGTCGGATTATTTCTTGATGATACATTAAACTGATATATTTCAACATGTCATATTTATATGCTCTATATATGTTATGTATACTTTTTTTATGCTTTATATATATTTTATATATACCCAATGTATGCTCTATATATACTATTGATTAGTATACTTTATAACTTGTTATGTTGTATCATATACGACATACTATCTCTTCGGAGATATTTTCTTATGCATACGCGTGTGTTGTTGAGCAGACGATAAATTAAATTTTGACAAATTAAAGACAACAAATTAAATTATTAAGCCGAGACTCGAACCGAAATGTTTCGATTTTCCGTTAAATTATTAATTCCGAGATTCCGAGATTCGGACCCGAGTGTTTTGAAATTCCGCTAAACCATTAAGCCGAGACTCGAACCGATGTGTTTTGAGGCTTCGCTAAATTATTAAGTCGAGATTTAACCGAAGTATTTTGTGTTTCAGCTAAATTATTAAGCCGAGATTCGAACAGATGGGTTTTGTGTTTCCGCAAAATTATTAAGCCGAGTTAGTGAAGCCTGGAATAATTTTTTAAAGTATCTTAAAGAAATTTTCGCGTCTGTAAAGGCGTATTTTCGAAAATGATGTGAAGTGTGTGTATTTCACTCTGCATCGCTCCTTAGATGACAATGTGCCCTAATGTTACTCTATTCCTTCAGTAGCACGCCCAGAATCTTGAAAATAATTTCCCAATATCCCAAAGTCGCGCTCATAATATTAGATCCATCATAGCGGTATATTCGGATTCTCGCGCATGCACAGTGGTTGCTATCCCGCGCATGGGCCGATAGTCGGTCACGTTACTGCAGGTTAGGTCATGTAGTGTTAGCATAAAGAGCACATTCTGGGATAGTTTTTTAGAGTTTTCCAAAGTAACATTTGCTTGAAAAGGTGTATTTTCGAAATTGACGTCAGATATGCTTATTTTGCTCTGCATCGTCTCCTGGGTGACAATGTGTGTTTATGTCACTCTACTCCCTACTAACACGCCCAGAATCTTGAAAATAATTTCCCAATATTCCAAAGTCGCGCCCATAACGTTAGATCCATCTTAGCTGTATATTGGATTCTCACGCATGTGCAGTGATGCCTTTCCTGCGCATGGGCCGAAAGTTGGTCATGTTACTGCTGATTAGGTTATATAGTTAACATGTTTAGCACATTCTGGGATAGTCTTATAGAATCTTTTAAGGTAGCTTTCGCGTTTGCAAGAATGTATTTTTGGAAATGACGTCAGGTGTGCGTATTTCGCTCTGCAGCGTTTTCCGGATCACAATGTGTGTTAATATCACTCTATTCCTTCAGTAATACGCCCCGAATCTTGAAAATAATTTTCCTATATCCCAAAGTCGCGTTCATAACGATGGGTTCAACTTAGCTAGCGTTGTAGGAACTTCGGATTTTCTGGCATGATCCGATATTCGGTCATGTTACTGCAGGTTATTTAGGTTATTTATATCATATAGTGTTAACATATAGAGCACATTCTGGGATACCTTTTTACAATTTTTAAAGTAATTTTCGCGTTTGGAAAGGTGTATTTTCGAAAGTAACGTCAAGTGTGCGTATTTTGTTCTACATCGCCTCTTGGTAGACAATGTGTGTTAATGTCACTCTACTATCTCAGTAACACGCCGAGAATTATGAAAATAATTTTACATTAGCCCAAAGTCGCATTCATAACGTTGGATTCAACTTAGCGTCGTAGGAACGTCGGACTCTCGCACATTGGCCGAAAGTCGGTCATGCTACTGCAGGTTATTTATCTTATTTAGGTTATTTAGGTCATATAGTGTTAACATCTAAAACATATTCTGGAATAATTTTTAACAGTGTTTTAAAGTAATTTTCACGTTTGCAAAGATATATTTCCGAAAATAACGTAAAGTGTGCGTATTTTATTCTGCATCGTCTCTTAGATGACAATGTACGTTAATGTCACTCTACTCCTTCAATAACACGCCCAGAATCTTTTATACTTTTTGATTATTTTTTGATACTTTATGACTACGCTTTACGTTATCGACGCTTATCAAGTTCGTCGCTTGCTACGACATCCCCTTAACTTGCCATAATCAATCAATAATTGCATTATGAAATAAAAATTAATTCTTTTTTATATATGCCTGTCGTGGTTATATAAAATATTTATGTAGAACCTTTTCCTTTCTCCCCCCCCCCCCCCCC